GTTTTCGCTACTCAATAACGCAATCAATATTGTGGACGCAACCACGCAGCATTAAGGTTTTTTATATTACTTTGACTTACTTTGTGAGTTCCCTAATTACTTATAAGATATAAAGATTGGATTTGCATCTTTAATTGTGTGTAAATAACAATTCAAAGACTTACGTGTTTACGTATTTTACTGCACTTAGCTTTTCTTTCTTGAGGAGCAGCCATGGCCATCGCAATAATAACGAGAAGGGCGAAAATAACGAGTTTCATTTTGCCACGGATATTTATTTATTCTGGAATCAGATTTCTGTGTAAGCGGTGCTTCATATGCGGTCAGATGCAACGATAATTTAGTAATATTATTTCGACGAAAATCTCAATGATAACTGTCTGCAGCCGACTATATCTCTTTTTTAAATATTTTTGGCTTTTGACCGTCAATTGTCAAATATAAGTACATATTTTTATGTACCTCAGTAATATAGATACCAATACATAATTTATTACTGACATATTAGTTATATATACGAGCAATTTTTTATATACTAGTATTCGATTTTTTTAGGCTTGCGCGATCATTTTTAGATTTGATTTTTTAGGCTTTCGCGGCATCGGGTCGTTCCTCCCTGATGAAGCGAACTGAAACGTCGGACTCAAACAAAGATGAATCCACGCCACTCAAACCCGGATACCAAATCTAATACATACTAGTATATTTTATATATATTCAACGTCATTTTAAAGTAACTCAGGTGATAACTTTCTACGGATGTGGATCGCTTTACAGATCGTATATGATACTAAGTGATCGTGATCTTTGCGGAGTTTTTATACTTTGTATACACTTGAGTACACTATTAATTCACTCATTTGACAAGAAGATAATTTTTAATGGCGTTTTCTTTTATTTAATATTTCCGTGCATAACGACACGTGCGTCATCCACTAGCGGTTATACGAGATAAAAACATTTATCGTGAAATGTTTCCAAGAAACATATGGTGTATATTCAGTTGTAACTGCACATTAAAATACAAAGAAAGTTTGTCGAAATATATTACATGTTATGTAACAAGTTCGAGCAATGAGAGAATTTCTAATTAAATAAGTACATTTCCCCATGACGTTCGATATTGCCGCGTGTAATGGAAATTCCAATTGATTAATTACATCGATCAGCTATGATGTCTATCGCCTCTCTTGTTGCAGTTTATATTAACGAGAAAACATTATTATCGTACAATCTTAGCAAATGTATTTGTAACTGTAAGTACCTTACGAAGGTAACGAATAATACATATATACATATATATAATTATATACATGTATACATATATATAATTTTAAAATAAAAGTACGAGGGTGGTCTGAAAAGTTTCCGACCTAACAAAGATACAAGTCATTTTTTCTGAAAATTGTTTTTTATTTTTCAACATAGTCTCCTTGTAAATCTACACACTTCTCCCAGCGATGCTCCCATCTCTGTAACCCGTCGAAATAGTACTCGGCGTTTTTCTCTGCAAAATAATTGTTCACGAAGGTGATTGCCTCTTCATTTGACGAAAATCTCTGTCCTCCGAGCGCAATTTTTAGATGAGGGAACAAAAAGAAGTCGCTTGGGGCTAGATCTGGTGAGTAAGGTGGATGGTCAAGCAGTTCAAACCGTAATTCGTGGATTTTCGCCATGGCAACCGCTGAGGTGTGAGACGGTGCGTTGTCTTGGTGAAACAGGATTTTCTTTTTCTGCAAATGTGGCCGTTTTCCCGCAAGTTCTGCCTTCAGCTTGTCAAGTAATGATGCGTAGTATGCTCCTGTAATGGTTTTTCCTTTTTGAAGATAATCGATTAAAATAACTCCATGACTATCCCAAAAAACAGTCGCCATCACTTTCCCAGCCGAAAAAACAGTTTTTGCTTTTTTTGGAGCCGGTTCCCCCTTTGCAGTCCACTGTTTGGACTGTATTTTTGTTTCAGGCGTATAATGGTGTATCCAAGTTTCATCTACAGTAATTAATCGGCGCCAAAACTCGGATTTATTGCGCCTAAACTGCTCCAACAGAGCGTTGGAAATGTTCATTCGAACACGTTTTTGGTCTAACGTGAGCAAACGCGGCACCCAACGCGCGGACAGCTTTCTCATGCCTAAATGTTGATTTAATATGCGACAAACACGTTCTTTTGACATGTTCATAACCTCTGCTATCTCTCTCACTTTAATTCGGCGGTCGTCTAGCACCATTTGGTGAACTTTGGCGATGTTTTCGTCGGTAGTTGCAGTTTTTGGACGTCCTGAACGTTCATCGTCTCCCAAGCTCTTACGGCCACGTTTAAATTCAGCGGCCCAAAATTTCACTGTCGTAAATGATGGTGCAGAGTCCCCATACACAGAATCCAACTCATCTTTGATTTGCGTAGGCGTATTGCCTTTCAAAAACAAATATTTAATGACAGCTCGATACTCGATTTTGTCCATTTTCACAAAAACACTCACATCAACTTACTCAAACGACTGTTACATAACAACTGCGAGTCCAAAATGGCTGAAACTTCGGTGAGTAACTGTCAACAGATGAACAACGAAATTCACTAGCTTTTATTTACAAGTGCTGCTATCTTCACGTTGAGGTCGGAAACTTTTCAGACCACCCTCGTAGATATAAATGAATGAGACGCTCTATATGATATTATTTTATGTGGACAATAATAATATATAAGATCCTTAAATATATGATTACACGAACAGCAGGATTGTTATTTTGCGAGAAATTAACGGAGCTACGCAATACTTTTTCCAACTAACTTTTGATCAGTTGTTAATAATGGTATATTTTTTATTAGAATATTAATTTTAACTGTCAATATGTCGTAAAGAATTGATGGCTGAGTATCTTCAATATTTTAATCTTAAAGCAAGTGAATTCGCGCAACAAACAATATATAACTTACTAATATAACTTACTAATATGTCCTCACATCGCATATAATTTTTCTTTTTTTTCATATTGAGTTTGTCGGTAAGAGAGTTTTTGCACGACTAGGGGGACGCATCAGGAAATGTTTGTACTGTTTCTCGGCCCGAACGATCTTATCCACTCGTTCAATGGCGATACGTTCAATCTCCGCAAACAATTCGCTGTGCACAGCTATACATTGACGAAAATCCTTGCGATCGATTCGGTACAATTCGCAGACATCGATGGCGACGACGCTGGCCACCCTTCGTTCATCCGCCACTAAGAGAGCGATCTCGCCGAAATAGGCTCCGTCATCCAAATGGCATATCTTGAAGTAATAGATAGTTATTCCTGTTTTTATCACGATACTTTCGTTTAGTTCGAATTTTAATTATTATACAATGTTGACTATCGCGCAAATGGCACAAATTATCAAAAGAGTTTCTTAAGAAATACCTAAATGTTCAAATAACACATTTTAAGAATTATATGTATCTTATTTTGCTTATTTTTTCTCATCATAGTCTTAGAAATCGAATACAAAAATTGGAAGAACTTACTTCTTTCCCAGTTGGCGTCAGGATCGCTACGGTTCCTGAAGACAAGAAGAACATGCAGTCACCGTGGCTACCAGCTTTGATAATCACCTCGTTCGGTAGATATAACTCGAATTTCAAGTTTTTCACTATCGACTGCAGAATATGCCTGGGTAGACTCTTGAATATCGCTACGTTTTCAATTAATCGCCGGCAAGACTCGAGCGCGATCTCTTCGCGTAACGTTTCTGAAGAAACAAAGTTTCATTATCCTAATATACATTATCCTAATAAAGATTTCATGTTCTGATTTTCACATTCATCATCTTTTTTAACCTGACAAGTTGGACAAAATTTGTTTCTCGCGAAAATAACTGTTCTTGAAGCGATAATAGTAATAAGCCAAGAGACGCTTCTTCATGTGCGGCACTAACTGCTTCTGTCTAGTGTACGCCTTCACTTCGTTTATGATCTCTTGAAACTTCGTTTCGGACTCCGTTCTCTCAGATGTGACCCGAAGGAACATAACTAGAAGGAGACACAATGCGTCTGCTTTTATCTGCCGAAGATATATAGCGCTTTTAGAGAGACAAACAATAAATAAATAATACGATGCTTTACTCAAGAAGTAACACAGAATAATCCTGCCGATAAGCATGATAAAACTGCTCAAGATGAGGTGACCATCCGTTTTAGGTTTGAAGAGACCGTAACCAGTTGCTAGAACATTCTCCAGCACGATCAGCATGGCATTTTGGAATCTGAACATGAGAGTGCGGTCCTCTAAGCCCGTCATCCAGCAATTCTCGCATTCCTTTCCACGTGTGATGACAATAAAGATTAAAATTACAATTTTTTTTTAATGTGTTTAACGTAGCATATAAATTTCTGCGGTTCAATATCGGAGACTTGCTTACTCGCGGCGGAATGTTGACGAAGTGCATCATTAATAAAATCGGTATTAAGTAACACAGACAGGAGAACCAGAAGATTAAGTATATTCCCAGTAATAGCGTAATGTATAATTCATAGTAAAAATGCTTAATTTCAAAGTGCTGAAATAGAAAGCGTTTATCATGTAATAATATAACATCATTATGTATTTTTATGGAAAAGCTGATAGGATTTAAGTTTAAGTTTTATCACCTGAAATAGATAAAAAATGTTCGACCTAAACGTCGAGTAGCGTGTTATCTTCATAAAAGGCAATATATTGATTAAGGTAACGATATGATACGAGCCATCTCCTGGCAGTCTTCGCCATGGCAGCGTTATGTGATCGTACGGAAAGGACGATAGCACATCTGGCAGGAAAAGTCCTTTAAGATAGAACCTATAAAGATTATTTTTTCAGCGTCACATGTGGATATATTAATCTAACAAGACAAAACTCAAATTAAACTAAAAAATTGAGAATGCAACAAAATTAAATAAAAATAATGAAATTAATTGTGCAAAAACTTGGGTGAGGTATTACATGTGAAGTCTCACATAAGTATTTTACTAAGTTTCAACTCGATATGCATGTCTTTGCTGTCGTAATAACCCGTAATGCAATTAAGCGATATGTCCAACCAGCAAATCGCATAAATCGGGATATTCACTTTATCCAGGAGAATCGATTCGTAGTCCATAACAACGAAGCAGATCATGAAAGGTATCGTCAGGAAGGCGATTGAGTAAATCGCCATCATGAATGTATCCCAAAGGTATCTATGAATTTTCTCGTTCAGAATGACGATTTCTTTGAGCTATTCACCGAACAATATAAGTAATGCTTATACATAAAAGTATTTTGTATCTTAGAGAGAGAAAGAGAAAGAAAGATATATCGTATATAAAAGGAAACGTAGAAAGGTACTTGGCGTAACTAAACGGATGTATTATCCACCAATGTTTGAGAGCAGCGTGCCTTCTTCTCTCGGCAGTCACCGTGGCCGTGCTGTCCATGTAACGACCGCATTTTGGAGTATATTTACTGATACCACACCAAGCTATCCACACATTTTTGAAAGTCAATGGTTGTATAGTCGCGAAGGGAAACTCGTGTTCTCGATTCACAGGTAGTTCGCATATATGCTTGGTCATTATTTAATAATTAATCAAGTCAAGAACAAGTTTGCAAATAACATATTAGGTTAAATTGTAACATATATTTCATGTACAAAATATTTACCCAAACACCTGAATAACAGCTCATGAATATGAATTCATAATAGAGAGGCACAATGTTCAAATCCTAGAGAATACAAAACATCTCAGAATTATTCTGAATGTATCTAGGATATCCTAGAAAAATTCAAAATATTTAAAATATATCCAAAATAATTTTAGAATATTCTGTATTATCTGAGATAAGTGTTTGAAAAATTTTCTGGTAAATATTGATTTTTCTGTTGTTTACGAAGTCTTGGTTGTACAGAATTATGAATGCAATACTGCCTTTACGCAGTAAACATTCTTGCGAAAATTAATAGGAGCATTGCCTGATTTGTAAGCTTGCGAAATTCTTCGTGCGAATTTAAACATAAATTCGTCGAAATATTTTTCATAGAATTTTATATACATGTCTTTATACACGTCGTCTGTGTTTACCAACTCTTTCAAGAGCGATGTATTTATTTCTTTATGACAAAATAAAAAAACCTGCCGTTGAATAGCACTACTTGATAAAGCGGAAGTAAGCCCGATCCGATTGTTTAGTCGTACTATTTCAAATCCAATTTATCAAAGTGACGACGGAAGTGGCGTAGCGGAAACTTTGAAACTAATTACTATGTCCAATCATAAATGCACCGAGCTTATTTATATAGCGTTATTAAACAATAGCATTGTCAGCATTTTTAGTTCTATCAAGTTGGAGAGGCGTTTCTTCATCGGAGTTTGTCACTCATTTTAGCATCCTTTTAACTATGTTATCAGTAAAATTTGCAAATAATTTATAAATATCAGTATCAATTATAAATTGTTTTGTATTATATATATATTCTGTTTTATACTGTATCATATATATGTTTATAGTGGCATTTTTTCTGTTTTTCTTTTTAATTATATTAGTACTAAGAAGAAGGTATAGAATTATATATATTCGGAGCTTTAGATAAAAAGATTATTGTAACACGCCGTATTGTGTGATGTTTATTAAAAATGTATTCACATTAAAAAATAGAGGCATATAGAGTATATGTTATAATAATATTACATAATAATCATCTATTTCATTTTGTCATGGTGACTACTCCATATCTTTATCCCATCTGTGAATCTTTACTCCATATCTGTGAATAAATTCGCACTTTTTTAAATGTTGTGCACATTACGATGCGTTCCAGAAAAAATCGACGATATTTTCGATGATGTCGGCATATTTTAACATCTATTATTTTCTCACAACACAAACTCTCTGGTATTATTACAACTTGTGCGTATATTGATCACAACGATCGCATTTTCTAATTCACGAAGTACAATGTGGCATACAATAGAGGAAGCACCAATTGACATATCAATTATTTCGATCAAGCATTCAAACATATGATTTAATTCACATTCTTAGTATGCGTCTTATTAAAAATAAATATAAATAGAAAAAATTGATGTGCAGTATATATCAATTTCAAAGTGTAAATAAATTCCATTTAGCAATATGTCGGAAGTATTAATTACTTGCTTGAACTTTTCCTACCGCGAATGTTGAACACTTAGTATAAAACGAAATACAAAATTCCTTAAACGAGATCGACGCAGCTGATTGTAACAATTAAATTTTAGAGAAAGAGCAATTTTAAATAATTAATTTAGAGCAAGATTGAAATTTAATAAAAAAAATAATAACTGTATATTTTATTTAATTTCAGCTATCAGTCTTCCCGGGTATTTTTTTCTACGTTTCTCTTTATTTTATAAATGTCTTAAAAAAATACAAGACTCGCGATACGTCGCATATACACATCTGCAACCTGATTACGTCAAATGATCATGTCAAATTTCGCCAGGCAATATTTCTTTACACTTAGGGCCAGTTTTTCAATAACTTAGATTCAAATTTAAACTCTATTCTAACAATGCGTTTGTTTTGTTTAAACAGAGTTTAAGTTGAAATCTAAGTTTAAATTATCCTTGAAAAATCGGCCCTTACGGGTATAAATATGGAAATATGTATACAATGTTACGCTATTGAGGCCAAAGTATTGTTCTATTGTGTTTATGCTCATATGTATAGTTCTTGCACGATATCGCACGATCTTACTAAATCTTAGAGATTCTCGTGAAATCTTTTCGCACAAGTAGACATCGCATATCTGATGCATGAATTAAAATATTAATTATTATTTCTTAATGTAACGTATGAAACAGAACATCATAAATTCACCGTAAATTTTTTTAGCTAGAATTATGAATACATGATAATTCTTATTTTGCACAAGTTCTTTTCTCTTATTTTTATAGATTCTTTTTTATCCTTTTTACAATAAAACATATAAGCCCTTAGGTTTATATACATAAGAATTAAATAAATTAAATATATAAATTCTTAAAATAAAATCTTTTTGCAATAAAAATAAACTTCTAATTAGACTGCAACGGGAAAAATATTATACAAAAATTAAATGTGTGGCAACGGTACGAAGTCAGCCGTTAAATTGATTCCACTGAACACGAGAACCTCCAAGTTGTCGCGCAACGATCTATGCCTCGTGCGGTTCACACATATTATTCTAGTGCAACATCAATAACTACGATCTATAAATGCATTTTTTATCGGATAATCCGCGTTTGAGCTCGCGAATACTATTTCTGAGGTACTGGATGTTTCGTTCTTATATGAGACACGATTCGTGAAGGTTACCTATTCGGAAAATTACCCGGACGATCCATGTCTCGTGACTATACGATGCGGTTTCGTCGCGGAGCGATATGATGTGTCACCATACGTTTATCAAAAAAATTCAAACGACCGTAGCGAGTCACTCGCCGTCCGACGAGTCGATATCGACTCAGTATCGACAATTACGTGTATACAATATCCACTTGGTGGCTAGGACCGACATACGCGGTCGTCAACGTGAACTATCAAAATGTATCAACTTCGAGGATACGTATCAATCGATACAACATTGAGAAGTGCAACAGGAATATGCAAGCATTCCGTGCTCAATGATCGTCAAACGACATTTCACAGTCAGCCAACAATTACGCATGTCAAACATTGAGGGCGAACAGTAACGTCGGAAACTTTTTTGTTTGTTTTTTAGATCTCTTATTTCCCATGGGGTGAGGAGACATTATGTGTCGTCGTCTTCTGCGGCCGCGGAATCTTTGAAGAATATTTTTCTTTCTCTCTCACTTGTGAGAAAAATATCGACTCTCATACGTCGATGCTGAGCAGCCTCCCGGCCTTCGAAAATCGGCAACGTGCGACAATGAAATTCCTTCCATTAGACGAATATTCATTTCATGTGAATGCTAGCAGAGGTCGAAGGCAGTCAGTAAACTTGATACCCGGACGAATCTAGCAGCTCGGAATATATCGAACCGAGGCAAGTAAAAGAGCATACGCTCATGTAGTTTTCTGTGTCGTGGACAATCGGTTCATGTTCGACCAGAAGCTTGCTGTTCATTGCCACAACTTTGTCGTCCAGCGTAAGAACATGCTGCGAGACGGACTGCATCTCATTGTCTTCGCGACAATTAAGCTTGTCAAACGTTGAGAGAGAATGGTAACGTCGGAAACTTTTTTGTTTGTTTTTCAGATCTCTTTTCCATGGGATGAGGAAAGATTATGCTTCGTTGTCTTTTGCGGCCGCGGAATTTTTGGGGAATATTTCTCTTTCTCTCTCACTTGTGAGAAGAATATCGACTCTCATACGTCGATGCCGAGCAGCTCCCGGCTGTCGGCCTTCGAAAGTCGACAACGTAAACTGCGACGACGAAACTCCTTCCATCAGACGGATGCTCGTTTCATACGAAGGCTGGCAGAGGTCGAAGGCGGTCGGTAACCTTGATACCCGGATGGATCCAGCAGCTCGGAATTTGCCGGACCGAGGCAAGTGCAGGAACACACGCTCACGCAGTCTTCCGTGTCGTGGACGATCGGCTCATGTCCGGCCAGAAGCTTGCCGTTCACCGCCACGACTTCGCCGTCCAGCGTCAGGACGTGTTGTGAGGCGGACTGCATCTCGTTGTCTTCGCGACGCGCCTCACCGGTGTTCCTGTCTCCAGAAAATTATTGTCTCGCTTATTGATAGACTTACTAAAATTACCACAAGAAAAAAGATATATTCACATCGTCATGAAGCGCAGCACAAGCAGATTGATACTGGCGGCAACTACGGCCAAGCCGAAGAGGATGAAAACTAGACTCAAAGCCACGTATCCGGGTTTATTGGAGAGCGCATGGTCGTTCTGCAAGAAAAGCGATCGAGCCTCACGTCTTTTCGCTTCTTCTCGAGATCACGAGTGCGAGACGAATCCTGCGTTACCCACCTGAAGAGCGACAAAGTCGCCGAAGCCTATGGTGGTTAACGTCACGAAGCAATAATAGAAACTGTCGAAATAGCTCCAGCCCTCGTATCGTGAGAACACCGCAGCGCCCGTTGTGATGATTATACTTGAGAGCAGACCGGTCGCCAACATGAGATTCATCTCGGTAGCCTCGGTCTTCTGACATCTGAGATACGTTTTCGCTCTCCTGATCACGACCGACGCAAACTTGTTCAACCGCTCGCCGATACTCTGGAACATCACCAGCCCCAACGGGATTCCCACCATCGCATACGCCATGCAGAACGCCTTTCCACCTATGGTTACTGGCGTGGAGTGTCCGTAACCTTGCAGAAAATTGCATCCAAGTCTTATGAGGTCGAGATCTTATCAAGTACAATCGCGTAACGTAATTTTACAAATGCATATGTCTTGCGAATATAAGCAAATTATACAAAATTGTACAAAATGTACAAAAAAACATTAGTACACAAAACAATGTTGCGTGGCTTGAAATAAAAAACTCAAGGTTCAGTAAAAATTAATTTGCATTTGAAATTAAAGTTAGATTTAATTGAAATTTAATTATTACGTCTTGTTGCACAGAATCTTTTGTCTTATGTTGATATTCTTTCGCGAATGGTTCATAAGTGCAACTCACCGATCATGGCTAATACTAAAGTAGCAAAATAGAAGGCACCCGCGAACTTCCATTGCGGCCCCGCTTTGTGCGGCTTATTCTCGATTATCACGATTTCGACCATCTTGTAGTCCTCTGGCGTGATGTTGTACTTCTTCATCATGTTACGGCGGATCTCTGCAAAGGCATTTCCCGCGCGCACGCGGCGGAAATAATTAATCGTCGATTATCGATCGCGCGCCGCGCGCGTAAAAATACCTCGGGGCGCGAAATACGTCGTCGTCAGAGATGGTGGTGATGGCTGCTACTCACCGGAGAGAAATTCCCAGCGTTTCTTCTCAGTGTCGGATTCAAGGGCGTCAAACACCGCGGCACCGACCAATAAATACGTGAACGTGCACACTACTAGCGACAGAGTCCTGACATTCTGCCTCTTCATCTTCGTCGCTTTGTCCTCGCGAGCAGTAACGCGCGCGTTCTCGGCGCGCTATGCAATAAAAAATTCCACAACACCGCTGTCAACGAGTACGCCGAGATTTGCCCTGACAGTAACACGCCTCACGGCGTGCCACATTTATATAGGAAAGGGAGAACGCCCCGTGAAACACACTCACCCCGCGACGCGCGTAAATAAATATCTATCTCGCGCCGGATACGCGAACGCCGATGCACCCTCCCATCTTCGCGGAGGATATCAATTTATAAGACATATCAGAGAACACACGTCTGGGATGTCGGAACGCCACGAGAGCGTGCACGATACTCACGAGACAGCGATCACTGCACGCTACCCGCCCGAGTATTGATCGCGCGCCGACAAGGGATGGTCCATGAGAAGGCGCTGGCTGTTTATCCTTCTCCGTAGGTATACGCGGTGGTAAACACTCTGACAGTGCGATCCGGCGATAATCGTGGCGACGACGTGCGGCCGAGTGGGTGATAACATAGTCGAGAGGTAAGCGCGGCACAGTAGTGCAAAACGCTTTCGGAACGACAGTAGTTATATCCGTCGTGTTGCGGACCGCCCGTCGGCCGAAATGTAGCATCGATCTTCTTCGCGCGTGTCGAATCTACCGCTGATAACTCGGAGAACTGCGCGTCTCTGTGAATTTACGTCGCTAGAACTTTGGAAAGAATCGTGTGCGCTGTTTTATTTTGTCATCTTTGATGATGAGTTTATTGGATGCGTCAAGTGTATTTACAGAATTCTTTCATAGAGAACGATATTAAAGAGATGTTTATTATATGTTTATGTTCTAAGTGGAGTTCTTTTGCGTGAAAAACAATCTGGTTATCGTCGAGGAACATAGTTCACCAGACACGAAGTATACATTTGCTCCCACGCGAAACGTGACATTGTGTAAAGGTACGATAAAACGACGGAAGTTGCGCGCGACAACAAAATGTCATTGCGAACTAACGTATATATAGGTGTTGTGTGGTCTCTGTTTCGATAGTTTACTACCTATCCGATTTCCTCTACAGTTGTTCGTCGACAACAGTGACAACAGTCCGTATTGCTATTCCATATCGCTATGCTCCCCTGAGAAATTTCACATGTCGTCCAATCGTGAAGTCGGGTAACTGACTTGAAACTGAAAAAAAAGAAGAATGAGTGATGACGTATCAATGCTGGAATAAAAAATGGTGCAAATATAGATGTTAGTTTATCATAAAGCCAAATGCTGGAAAATATTTTTTGCTATATTATTTTTAAAATTTAATCATTCATTAGACGCTAAAAAGGATATAATGTTTTCGATGAAAATATTAAATCTCTTTCTCTCTCTCTCTCTCTTCTCCTCTTCTTTCTCTCTCTCTCTCTCTCTCTCACACACTCACTCACTCACTCACTAGGTAAATAATATTTTTTCGCTAAAAAAATATTTCCAGAGCATAAAAAGATTCATGAATTTAAAAGATCTTCCATTACGCCGTCAAAGTTATTTTTATATCGCAACGAAATTTTGTGGTGAATGATATATCGAAGTGATGCAACGGTGACAGATTCCATTTACGATCATTACATTCGTCGATTACAAGCTTCCGAGTATTAAAGAACGAAGAAACCTCTACATCAAAAGCTGAGAATTATTATATCATATCATATCTGAGATTTATTATTATATTATATCGATAAACGAAATCCTGTTTTTAGGGATATCCGAGTTATTATATCATACCATATCAGTGATTGAGCACATCGAATTGGCGATGATGAAACTCTCTCCAGATCATAGCATTAAACATTTTTCAAGTTCTTGTTCATGTATTTGTCGCCGAAAGTGACTATAACTTTAATGAGATCAATAATTTTTTTCTCTCAGTGCGCATTAAAAGTAAAGGTTCTTAGGAATTCCTCAGATCAGTATGTTGGAACTTCACGCAATTCTTATTGTTGAGCGCGTCAGCTTATGAGAAAGTTGAAAAGACGAAAGATAGTAGGAGAGGCACAACTCATTGAACGGGAAAATATACACACACACACACACACACACACACACACACATTTCGTTGTCTTCAAATATTCACAATAACGCGTAAATAACGCCTTAAAAGCGTGTTAAGTACTTGCTTCATATGCACGTATCGATCCAAAATAACGACGGCACTGTTTCACAGCGCGAGAGTACTGATACAAGAGTTATCAGCGACACGTAACTTTCTACGACGAGAGTCATACGACATCATTACTTATCCTATTCGATCCTCGTGATGATCGGGCGCGAACGAGCTTTTGAACTTTTTCCCGACCGTAAATCTCCAACAGCTCCTATGTACGACACGGAGTGCGACCATTCGACGTTACTTCTCTCTGCCAAATGCCGATCGCGGAACTTGGGAAGTTACCCAATGCAATGTGCCCTGCGGGAATCCGTCTCGATGAACGCGTCACGCACGAAGGGGTGCATCGGACGTCCGACTATTTGCATGCTGATGGACGCGCTACCGATTCCATTCGCGCGTCGCATCGATAACGAACAACGATCCATATCTCTGCCAATGAACGCGAGATAAAAGTGAGAGAAAGAGAGAGAGAGAGAGGAAAGAAAGAGAGAGAGACGTAAGAAAATTGCCGTCGATTTTTTGTGTATGTATGTGTGTATGTTGGTAGGTGCGCGTGGCCGCAGTTAAGGCGTTACCCTATTTGTCAAGGAAAATTACACTTTTCGATTTACGTCAGTGTTCGCCTTGAACGCGGTATGCGCTTCGAGTATCTTTATCACACCTCCTTATCTCGGGTCCCTTCTGATTTACCTCGAATGTTTTGCGTGTATCGGTAATAAGCGGTATGAGTCTAATATCGGTTACGTCACGAATGTTAACCAAAGTCACAGAACCGTTTCATTAGACGCGTCTCTAATGACGCAATAATAGGTCAACGGAGAAAAGAGAGAGAGAGAGAGGGAGAGAGAGAGAGAGAGAGAGAGAGAGAGAGAGAGAAGGGAAATTACGCCTCGTATTTTTGCGACGAACGAAAATAGCCGTCGGCTGCTCTGGCGCTGAAGACAAGGTAACAAGAGGAGAAGGAGGAAGGGGTGTCATATTTCAACGGCGATCCGTGTAAATGTTTAGCGAAGAGAGTAGCCCGGTAAACGCATGTTGAAATTACCGTACTTGAAAGTGCAGATATTTCGCGTTTGGACCGAGGAAAAGCAAGATGCACCCGCGAGTCATTCCGATGAAAAAAAAAAGTTAACTGCGGCAGCCAGAATCTGTGAGCAGTAGCTAAATCTCGTTGTAACGTATAGATATCTGAAAATTTATAACTACCAGTGCACGGGAAAAACAGCATGGTTAGTCAATATTGAATCTGGCTGATACAACCAGATTTATGTGACCAACCATGCTGTTTTTTCCGTGTAAGTATATATTTAGTATGAAACCGATGCAATGGCAACAGTAGCGGAAGTTTTAGTTGTAACAATCAATTTTTCATTGCAACAACAAATACAACGAATACAGTGAAATCTTTCTGCAGTGAAATTTTTTTTCGTATACTATACGCGATATCTGTGTCGATTGGGAGATGACATGGCCACAGGGAAAATATGCGACGCATGAAATTTTCAAATTAATTGGTATTTTCAAAAGTCAGCTTTCACTAACAACTACAAATCATTGCTGCTTGACAATCAATGACGAGTATTTTCGGTAGTTGAAGAAACAGAACAATCAATCAATGTTCTCCAAATATTGCGTGACATATGTGGCAAGGAAAACGTCTAAAAAATTACCCACGGTGGTTAGTTAAGGTCAAAAGTAAAACTTTGTTCAGCGTAACACCTCTCAGAGGGAAGGTGCTAAGGAACAACTGACAAATAACCCTCTTAGAGGAATACACTCGCTTCGTTTCGACCTCTGTCTACCTCTTCGCGTTGTTGTTGACGAACGGCCAAGTCGCAAGAAAAGGGATGGTGAAGGGATGAGAGAAGTAGTATTCCACGGTAATAATGCCGTCATAGATCTTTCAAGGAAGCTGGGAATCGAGAATACCCGTCAAACGCAGATTCCTCGAACTCTTCATGGAGCGAAAACGGAGAGGTGTCTCCTCGAAGCAATGAACTCTAAGGTCCCATCGATTTTGCATTATTGGCTAGCTTCTCCTTTGCTCCCCCTTTGCTTTTATTCGAATGCGCTGCGTCGAGGAAGTTCTCATGCCACAATCTTGGATCCGGATCAACGGATCTACAAAGCTCAAAATGCAGACTACACGCCCCAAATAGCGTGTCCCAAACCAAATTCATACCCCTATCCATTAAAGAATCTACAGACTTATGAGTATCTTTCTCTTCCTGTTTTATTTTTAGGAACTTTCTTGTTTCTGTAATATGTTTCACCTTTTTATTCGGAATTTTAGACTCTAGAGACACAATAAAAATTTAGGAAATTAAATATCTAAAAAATCGACGCGTTAACTAATAATGAACGACGTTGCGAAACGTTCGGACGAATATCATGCGAATATCTAGAATTTTTGGATTTTCCGAAATCATGTGAACTGCATAGAACAATTTCGGCACTACGGTATTGATAGAGTATACCTCACTGCACATTTTCCGCTGATTTCTCATTTCATCAGAGCATTCCGATTGTCGTTTGCCAAAATTTCGGCATCAATAGACGGCACACACGAAATTTTCCGCAATCCGGCCACATTCAATCTCAGAAATTACAACACGCCACTTGTACATTTCCGCGAAATTATCCAGCTATAGCTTTCACAGTTTCAACACGCGCACACACATCTCGGTTCGCACGCCAAACCAGTCGTGTGAAACGTTGTTTGATGAAAACTTAATCGGGCATGCATTAGATCGAGCCTGGTGAGTAACAGGATTTCGCCTGTGCACACACACACACACGGCGTTTCGCATGCGAATCTATCTACAATATAAATAAAATTGAAACTCCGTCCGTCCATCCCTCTGTCTGCCTGTTCGCTTGTTTGTTCAGGCGTCACGTAAAAACGGCTGACCCGATTCTCGCAAAAGTCGCGACGCATCACATGGGCAATCTAACTTGGAATTTAGATGACACGCCGTGTCGAAGATTCATTCGATAGACGAAAGTAACGCGGCGGGCTCGACTGGGAAATCGGCGATGGCGCGTTTACTATCGACTTTACGATGAGAATTTCTCGTACGACATAAAAATCATAAAAAAGCAGGGAATGGGAAACGAGAGAGACGCCGATTTTGATCACGGCACGCGAATTTTCGCAGTCTTGGCACGATTCATGAGTGATTTCGTAAATTAACATTCCTTCGTCGTCTCGGCGTAATTTTGCGGGCTCAAAGCGCATTTGCTGATCCATCGGAACGATATTTAAATACTTATGCGAGAAATTTACACGTTTCTCGCGAAGCGTGCAACACTTCTGTCGATTATTTTACGATATTTTAAGAGAACTTTTATATCTCTGGAATGTTTTCATTACATTCTTGCCCCGGCATTCTTCTTGCGCGCAGCCTTCCGACCCGATTGTTAAAATCGCGAGTTCGATTTCTCTCGCAATTAGGTCAAGCGTGCGGATATCTGAAAGCGACGCCTGTGGTTCATCACTCTACGCTTTATCGGCGCAAAAGTGCTGCTACGATAGCGTGTACTCTTATTATCCCTTTTGTAAACTCATTTCCCGCTGTCGATCATCTAAATATTGAGAATATAGCGCGATCTACCGCAAAATCACGTCTTCCGCGATTTCTGTCGTTCTTATTCTGTCGAAGCTACCGTAATTTTTCGCGTAAAAAATTAATTCTCCGCAAGTTTCCTCCCAGACACCGTATTCCTTTTTGCTCGAACTTTGAATTTCCATTATTTTTTCATCAAAATAAAGCACACGGAACTATGAAAAGGATAGGGATCGTGTAGTACTGAACGCACAGATATTAAGCGAAAGCTATAAGAAGCGCGCGTGGTCGAGGCGCAATGTAAAATAATGCAAAATGAAATTTATTAGCTCGATACGGCAGAGAAAAAAAGTGTTGCATCCCTCAGATGCCTCGGGAGACTATCTCGAGCGTGGCGGCAGGCTACCACGTACTTCTCTTCGGGGAATCTCAACCTTGATCTATTTTCAACGTCGCGCACG